TTTTCACAAGCGAGTTGTTTACGGCAACATTTTCGCACCCACACAGGAGAAAAGCCGTTTGAGTGTAACGTTTGCAGCAAGAAATTTTCAGCAAGGAGCAATTTACAGAGACATCTCCGCACTCACACAGGAGAAAAACCCCACGAGTGTTCAGTGTGCAACAAAAATTTCTCGGGAAGTGATGATCTGCGCATACATCTCCGAATCCATACAGGAGAAAAGCCCTTTTGCTGTGCTGTGTGCGACAAGAAATTTTCGGCGAATAGTTTTCTGCATGCACATCTCCGCCGCACCCACTCAGAAGTGAAGAGGACAGTCCAGTGTTCGGTCTGCAACAAGTTCTTTTCAAACAACAGTAATCTGCGCCGACATCACCTCACCCATACGGGAGAAAAGCCCTTCAAGTGTGCTGTGTGTGGCGCCAAATTTGCGCAACACAGTAGACTATCTGAGCACCACCGGACCCACACTACGGAAAAACCGGAAAAACCGGAAAAACAGTTTGGCTGCGATGTGTGCGGCAAGAAATTTTCGTCCAGTTACCTGCTGGACGCACATTTACGCATGCACACCGGGCAAAAGCCCTTCGAATGTTCCGTGTGCGATAAGAAATTTTCGGCCGAAGGTTCTCTGCGTTCACATTTCCGCGTCCACACGGGAGAGAAGTCGCTTGAGTTTAAGTGTTCAATGTGCAGCAAGAAATTGTCGTCAGCATCTGGTCTTCGTAGGCACTTGATCACCCACACAGGAGAAAAGCCCTTCGAATGTGATCTGTGCGGTAAAAAATATACGGCCCGTTCTACTCTGCGTGCACATTTAAGCACCCACACAGGGGAAAGTCCGTTCAAGTGTTCTGTGTGCGATAAGAAGTTCTCAATATTTGGTCTTTTGCGCAAACATCTCCAAACCCACTTGCAAGAAGATTTGTGACAAGTCAGCGTGAAATTTCCAGGAATTTGTTTGTTTATGTAAAAATTCAGGCATTTTAGAAACGAGTATGCAAATGTGTTCTAAATGAAATACAATTCGAATTTTTAAATTTTTGCCTCCTCTCTATACATTTACTAACTTGCAATGGCCTTCCTTCTTCACTTTATATTTACAACAATGAAACCTCAATGTAACTTTACTTACCAAATGTGTCAGTTTCATTATAACGAACGGAATCGCAAAATCAGCATTAGAGGACTCCGCGGTACATAACGATGAACCGATGAAGTTGGCAGCCTAGATCCGATTGTCTCGAGCCGGAATTTCTTTTGGAAGGGAGGGGGGACGGGCATAAAACTCCAAACGGTGCAAACGTTACGGGGAATTCCCTCGATGCCGTGCGGCCTGCCGCGCCGTCCAAATTCGTTAATCACCCCCCCCCCCCAGTCCTTCCCTCGGCCTTCCCTCCGAGCCAGCCGCGCCCGCGCCCGGCCGCCCGGCACTGCCACTCACAGCCACCCGCGCGACGAGAGAGAGAGAGAGAGAGACAGAGAGAGAGAGACAGAGACAGAGACAGAGACAGAGACAGAGAAATGTAAGGAGAGGCGGAGGGCAAAGTCTGAAGATTCCGTCGCTGAGTGAATACAAGAGGAGGTTGACAGAGCCTCGCCTCGCGGGAGAAAATTACGGCAGAGAGGGAAAAGAGCAAGAGAGGGGGGGGGGGCACGTCGTCCAGACTGAGCTAGGCTAGGCCAGGCTGGCTGATTCAAATTTAAATGTCCACCCAATAATCCCACACAATTCCTCTTCCTTGCTCCCTTTCCTCGCCTCCCTCCTTTCTCGCACTTCTCCTCCCCGCCAATACCGCAGGCTACAGGAGGGCGCACTCTAGCGCCCCACTCCTCGGTCGGTAGGTCTGTCTGTCCGTCTGTCCCCCCTCACCCGCCGCGCCCTCACCCTCTCTTTCTCCACTCGTAAATGACTTGAGCGAGTTGAAATGATTTCGGGGCGCCGCCGCGCTGTTAGAGACAGTGCGGGTGGACGACGGGGCCCCTTGTGAGCCCGGCCCGCCTCCCCCGCAGGACCGCCACCCTT